CTACAGTACTCTACTGAGGATGACATAGTAAAATTCTATTTCCAAAAAAAAAAAAAAAATAGAGAACAAGTACCACGCTGAAGACCTTTTTGGGGGTGGGGTGGGGGGACAGAGTCTCACTCTGTCACTCCCAATAGAGTGCCATGCTGTCATCATAGCTCACAGCAACCTCAATCTCTTGTGCTCAAGCAATTCCCTTGCTTCGTCTCCTGAGTAGCTGGGACTACAGGTGCCCTCTATGTCACCCAGCTAGTATTTCTATTTTTCAGAAAGATAGGATCTCATTCTTACTCAGGATGGTCTCAAACTCCTGAGCTCAAGCAATCCACCCACCTCGGCCGCCCAGAATGTTAGGATTACAGGCATGAGCCATCAAACACTTACTTTTTTTTTTTTTTTTGAGATGGAGTCTTACTCTGTAGCCCTCAGTAGAATTCTGTGGCATCATAACTTCCAGCAACCTAACCCTAAGGCTCAAGGTATCCTCTTGTCTCAGCCTCCCAAATAGCTGGAACTGTGGGTACACACACACACACACACACACACCCCAGCACCTGCCTGTTTTTAGAGAAAGGATCTCACTCTTGCTTACACTAGTCTTGATCTAAGCTCAGGGAATCTACCCGCCTCAGCCTCGCATAGTACTAGGATTAAAGTGTGAGCCACCTGACCTGGCTTCTGAACACTTAAACTTTTATTTTTTTGAGACACAGTCATACTTTGTCACTTGCCACCAGCCCTGCTACCCCACCCCATAGAGTGCCGTGGTGTCCTATCTCACAGCAACCTCAAACTCTTGGGCTCAAGCCATTCTCTTGCCTCAGCCTCCCAGGTAGCTGGGACTACAGGCGCCCACCACAATGCCTGGTTATTTTTTATTGTAGTTGTCATTGTTTAGCAGGCCCAGGCCAAGTTCAAACCTACCAGCCTCAGTGTATGTGGCTAGCACCCTACCCACTGAGCTACATGCACTGCCTGAACACTTTTTTTTTTTTTTTTT